TTTTACAGTCCTTGTAGCCTAATGTTTTGGAAAAATAAGACTGTAGTACCAAAAATTTCATCATGCTCTAAGTTTTCTAAAATAAAGGAGTTGTTCTTGATTTTAAGCAAGAATCTCGCTTTTAGAAAATATTTTATATTGTAAACAGTTTTGCAGGCGATCTGTTTCTGGGTTTTAAAAAGGAATACGTCGATTTAATGCATAAAAAGTTGTATTTCCTGCTATTCTTCACATTTTAGTTTTCTGGTGGTGATAAACTAATAAAAAGCTAATTTCTTAATATAAAATATAATATTGATAGTGATGCATTTGAATATGATTTAATGACAGCCAAAAGCTTTGTGCTTTAAAATGATATCAGTGCACCACAACACACACTTATACACACACACTAAATAATTCACATCAAAATGTCCTGCACTAGGGTTGCAACTATTCAGTCATTTTCTTGACATTTTGACTTATTTTGTCCACAAGCTAAAGATATTCAGTTAGCTGTCATAGGGGACTGGGGAAACCCGAGAATATTCACATCTGAAAAGCTGAAATCAGAGAATTTGGATTTTTTTTCTAAATAAGTCAAAACAATTAATTGACTGTCAAAATAGTTGCCAATTGATTTAATGGTTGACAAGTAATAAATAAATGGTTGCTGCTCTATCTTGTAGCCTACTGTACAGCTTCCACCTGATTAGGTAAATAATGAATAATGCCAAAATTAGACTCTTGTAGCAGGAAGGTGATGTTTTTAAGTGTTCTGTTCTTTTAGGTGGGGCAGGACGATGTAAAAGAGAACAGGAGAACATGTCAGCCTTTTTAGAACATGGCTCCATATGGGACCAAAACCTCTATAAACAAATGAGAATACTTCCAGTACATACACTACACACATGCACATAAACGCATACATATACTTATACCGGTATACACAAAAGCACATTTTAAGTTTTCTCACCCACCACTTAAGGGCTTACTTTAACAATGTGGTCTGTGTGTCTGTGGGGACATTTAATCTGCATGTGACCATTATATTCAGAGGCAACTAATTTGCATTGGCTAATATGTTTAGCAGGAAATGCTTGGATTACACGTTTTTGTTTTACAGCACGGTGGGATGAAGTGTTGAAAGGTGTTAAGTAAATTGGACAAAATAGAAAACATTAAAACAATCTTCTCCTCTCTGTTTGTAAGGACATTTTCTGGTGTTCAACAATTTAATACAGAAGTATTGAGCTCTTAGTGATTTTGGTTCATCTTGTTCTGCACAACATTTCTTCAAATATTTGTTTTGGCATTTAGTTCTTTTCTTATCTTTGTGGGTTTCATCTAGCAGTGTAGTTGCAGATTGCAGCTCACTGGCTTCAACAACATTGTACGTTATATTGGCTCTTTATGTCAAAACCACAGACATATTCTTGGCAGCGTGGCCGTACACGTTTCTGTTTGCATATCAGCTCCACTTGCCGTTTACGTCTTGTGGTTTTTTTTTTTGTCTGTTTCATCGCTCTGTTCCTTCTGGTCCTGCATGTTGCAGATTTGGTACACGCATGATCCACTGTGATAAACTGCATCGTGTCACTGCACAGGGAGGGTATCTTAAGTTCAGCAGGGCACAGCCACACCTCATCTGTTGTGGTTTTTGAAGTTATCGTCATCATAGAGCCTGCAGACAGATCAGAAGTTGAAAAGCTCTTTGTTCAGATGTTTTTAACCTAAAACTGATAAGGTTTTTACCTTAACATGCTCAGCTCGTGTTAAAACGCAACATGTGCTCTTTGGGTCTGTGAAATATTTAAATGTAGTATGCAAACTCTCTTATTCTCCTTGTGAAACTCATGTAGTCTTTATGAGGCCTGCAGTGACTCCTACAGCTAACTGGCACTCTGTTAACACATCCTTGTTTTTATGGCCTGATGACAGAAAAATGGGCTTCCAGTTTCCTCTGAGGTCCTTGGAAATAAAATGTGACAACAGCAGAAATGTTAAAAATGTTTCTGTCTAGGGACTGATAATATATCTTACTGCTGCTATGCATGTTGTGTGAAAACACCATTCCAAATTTTCCCTTTAATTGAATGGTTTTACCTCTTCTCTTTAGCAGGTTTAAAGAGAACTAAGTGCACAAAACCTAAACCAGGGTGTTTACTTTGCTCAGCCTATTCGCTGACGCCCGGAGCAGGTCAGGATATCTTCATTGGGAAAATCTGAAACAACCTGATGTTCACCCCTTCTCAATGCTTCCAGTTAGGTGGCAGTGTCATCAAGATGACCACTACACTTTTGTTGTGCGGTGGCTTTTAGCAGCTAATCTACTGCTTCTACACCTGACACAGCTGCACAAATAAGTCACCAATATAAATTTGGGAGATTTTTCCACCTTTGCTATAATTAATATGTATTCATCATTGCTGCAGTGGGGATTGAAACAGAGCAAGCTGACTGTGTGATGTTATTTTTATGATACTTTTGTTATGTTCCTCCTCAGTATGAACATTGTTGCACACAACCTTACCAGACACGCTGTACAGACAGTAGAGGCTGAAAGAGTGTTAAAGTATGAGGGTGAGACAGAACCCAGATAGATCCAATAAATCCATAAATGTGATGTCCTAATATGGTTTGTTGTGCTGCTCTTTGGACTGAAAAAAAAAAAAAAAAAAAAAAAGAGACAGAAAAAAAAAAAAAATTCCTTTTCAGAAAATTCTTGGAAAATCACATAGAGCTCTGCTTGTTGACATGATTTGGGCATTCTGCATGCAGTGTTTGTAGACAGGATTTTGCTATAAAGTGACCCCAGAGACCAGACTTTGGGATTGCGGTTTGATAGTTGGAATAGATGTTTCTTTTTAATCTGGGGCCTTTTTATTGTTTTAGCCATAAACTGTTCTTTCAACCACAACTAAATTCACTTGAGGAAATAAAAATAATCATCTGCCTCCACATCTTTAAACAGTTGTCACCTCCAAGGTTTCTTTTTAAAGACAAATTGTCATTCATTAAAACCTATTACCCTCACATGGAGCATCTGCAAACCTCCATGTTTGGTGGTTGGACTCCAGACATGTAGCATCTTCTTCTGTTTGCTAAGTTCCGATCAAATTTGGTCAATCCAAATCAAAATGAACAAGCAAACACACGAAACTGGACTCAGCATTGCCACAAGTCACCTGAGTTAGGATCATATGTTTAAATATTATTTGTTTTATTTTGTTAATGGCCGATATTTCTGCTGAATAAAATGTATGAGAGCTGAAAGAAACAGAGAAATGATTTCCAAAGTAGTAAACACACTTAAATTCACGATGCATTTGAGTGTTATATTGGAACAGCTTAGCAAAGGGAGGTAAAAATTATTATTTTTATAGGGCTTGGACAATAATAATATAGAGGGATGTGGTAGAATTCATATTTCCGTACTGCCAGCAGGCTCATATATGTTTTATAAATGCATTACTTGGAATATACATTTTTTTTTAAATGTGGTATTTTTCAGAAATGTAGGCCTAATACTGAGCAAATATCTTGCGAAACTGTATCTTAATTTTTGGCAAACAGCGGCAGCGCAGTGACTCGGAGGCTACAGAATAACCTCATAGAGAACACAGCACTTCCCTGTGTTTATTCTGAAAAGCTTTTTGTCTTTTAACTTGTGGGTGAACCTCAGTGAAACTAAATGTGTGGCCGTGGACTGTCACACTTGGTGCTCGTTGTATCACATGAGGATTTATGATATTGGGTTCTAAACGCTGTGTTTTGCCAGCAGCACTTTGTACAATGTCGAACGGGAAAGACCCCGAACAGTGAGGGCAGTTATACAAGAATGATTGGTGCAGTATGATAGTGTGATTATCATAGTGGTGGAAGGTAACTAACTGCATTTACTAGGGCTGCCCTGTCGTTAGAGAAAGCCAGTAGTCACACATTTATCATACATCCAACTTCACTAAAACAAATACTCACAGACTTCTCGATACGATGGATGATGTATAACAGGTACATTAAAAGGTAAATTAACTTGTTACAAACTTCAAGTTCCTCTTCCTCTGTTTCATGCCTCTCATGTCCCTGCCTGAACCTACCGTGTCTTCATCCCCAGAGTCATAGTCCTGTTGTCCCCTGTCCCAGTGACAAGGTGTCATTTGTCTGAAGGTTTTAGTAGTCTGGTACCTTAGTTTTGGATAACATGTTGCAAAGTACGCATTATTGTTATTGTATTACATTTGTCTGTAATGCAAATCAATTATGTCGCTACTTTCATTACATAAGTTCTTCAGTTATCTGCATGGGAAAAAAATGTAACGTTCCTTTCATGCACGCAACAATCACCTGAGTGACTTCCTTGTTTTCGGCGTGGAGTATACAGCTTCCTTCAACTCCAACCATGAAGTCAGTTCAGCAAGTTGACAGATGTATGTGTGTGTGTGTGTGTGTGTGTGTGTGTGTGTGTGTGTGTGTGTGTGTGTGTGTGTGTGTGTGTGTGTGTGTGTGTGTGTGTGTGTGTGTGTGTGTGGGGGGGGGGTGTATGACTAATTGTCCAGTAAAGTAGGAAGGTATTTGTTGGACCTTTTCTTTGCGCTCCTTCTTCTTGTCTCAATCAAAATGATGGAGGGGATGGAGATGTTGAACCGTTTCCCTGCAGTACAGGTTTTCTGACAGACCATTGGAGAGACTCCTCATGACGCATAACCACTGCTTTTTCTGAGTAATGACCCCAACACTGCTTTTTACATAGAAAAACATATGATTATGGTGCAGTCCTAATAGTACTAATCTACCCAGTAGTGTACAAAGTGTCTATAATTACAACATTAAAATGCTCTTACATGTATTCACTAGAGTAACACAGAGTAACATGAAACTCTAACACTGTGAAAGGAGCCATTCTGCATAATGAGAGCGTTTACTTTTCATACATTACATTCATACATGTTGACACACTCTTGGACTTTCACATAGTAATGTTTTGAATGCAGGACTTACTATGTGTGTTTTCTGTACAGGAGCAGCTCAGAGCGGCGTAAGGAAAAGTCTCGGGATGCAGCTCGCTGCAGGCGCAGCAAAGAGACAGAGGTTTTCTACGACCTTGCTCACCAACTGCCTTTGCCTCACAGCGTCAGCTCTCACCTGGACAAGGCCTCCATCATGAGGCTCGCTATCAGCTTCCTGCGCACACGCAAGCTACTCGCCGCAGGTATGGACACTGTACCCCATGCACAATGACACATACAATCAAATGCATTGACATCTACAAATGGAAGAGGGCAAGTTCAGCAAGTTGACAAATTTGTGGTGTGTGTGTGTGTGTGTGTGTGTGTGTGTGTGTGTGTGTGTGTGTGTGTGTGTGTGTGTGTGTGTGTGTGTGTGTGTGTGTGTGTGTGTGTGTGTGTGGGTTATGACTAATTGTCCAGTAAAGTAGGAAGGTATTTGTTGGACCTTTTCTTTGCGCTCCTTCCTCTTGTCTCAATTAAAATTAGAAGTTGAGGAAGCTAAACAAAGAAACAGACCTATTGTTCTGGAATTCCTCCACTGCGTCTGTGTCTCGAAGTGAGATCAGAGAACAACAATATTAAACAACTGAAGCATCGTCAGTGGTAAAAAAAAAAAAAAAGACTTATTTTTCCTTAACAGAGTTATGAAACAGTCTGTGCCTTCAGGACAGAAGGTCATGAAGTGAGACACCCTCTGTCCTCGACATCTGAGTCCCATTAAAGTTCCTCATGGTTAATTAAAAGTCAGATCTCTTCCATATTTCATCATCATATGCACCTTTTAATATTTTTTTTTGATTATGTCATTAGGAGAAAAACTGAACATGGTGAATCACTTAAGCCATGTTTTTTATTAACCTGATCTGACATTTAAAATCCGGTTCTGTGGCATTGGACAATAATTGGCTGCTCAACAAGCCATTGTAATAATAACAAGCTGCCAGTGGAACAGGGAAGTGTTTTGATTAATACGAGACCTTAGCCTTATCTGTAAATCTTTACACTGCCAACTGCCATCTTATTCTACTCTTATTGGCCTACTTATTGTGTTTTTATTAATCGCTTTGCATTGTTTCCTGATGGATACAACAAACACTTTCTCAAACAACTGTGACCGCTACTTCCTATTTCTGTGTTATCAATCAGATAATGAATCAATCACTCTCAATAACTTTTTTTATTTATATAGCACCTTTAGTAAATGCAGCTCAAAGTGCTTTATAGTTAACAGTCAAGAATAATACACATATATTAGAATATTACATGTGAAAAAACCTTAAAAGCTTTATAAGAAATCATACTAGCCTGGTAAAAATGACAAATGCAAAGTGTATTAATGTACAAATGTAGTAAGACATGTATATAAATTCAGTTCTCCTGATTAGGCAATATAAAGTAGCTCTATACAATATACATTAATATCTTCTATAAAAAGTTTTGTGATTGTAAAAACAAGCAAGTTTACTTAACTGTCAATTGTGCTATGAGCAGTTTGCGTAATAGTTACGTTTTTCACATATATAAAGTTCCGTGTTGAAAACAAAAACCTAAAACCTAAAAAAACAAAACAAAATTCTTGCTTACCCCCAGTGGCATCTAGTTATGCAGATAGTTTCAGTTTCACATTCCAAGATTTTGAGATAATGACACAATGAACGTAAATGAAACTCAAAGCATTCAAAAATTACATTTAAAAAACGTTGTCCCTGTTACTCTGCAAACCTTGCGGTCAACAATAAGCCAGTCTTGTAATTTGGGTGGACCGACCCTCTAAATTCGACAATAAAACGGGCAAAATTCCTGGAAATTCTAGCACAGTTATCAGACCCGCTCTCGCAGATGAAGGAAACGTATAGGGGGAAGGTGGACAGAAGAGATGAGGAAGAAAAAGGAGGGGGGACGGAGGTGGGGAGGACATATTTGTGAATAGGAGAGGAAGGGGTGACTGATTCTATAAGTGGAGAGCAGGAGGAAAGAAGAAGGCATATGAGTGCATGACGGGGCGGAGTAGCAGTAATGAGGGTAGGAAAGCAGTGGGTAAGAGGGGAGGGGAGGAGAGGACAGGGAGATCCATGAGATGCAGCAGCAGATAGAGCGTTATCAGGCCGGTCTGATTGCTCCATGATGGAGGAGAGATTGCAGAGGAAGTAAGGAGCTCTGCCCATCGTGCGACTGGTGCTGGCATTACCCCTGCTAGCCATAACACCCGTCTGCCTTGGCGCCAAACATGCTTGCATGCTCACTCACTGACACACACACTCGTACACATACAAACATACTGTATATGCACCCAAAAGCACATATGCAAGCTTTCTTATGTAACAGGACTTCAGCTGGGAACAGTGATCTGCTGATTAGGAGGTTAAGCTGACTGGGATATATATATATATATTTATATGAGCACAAAGACGCAAAGGGAAGCATCTTCAGAAGTGGAAGAATACACCCCCTAGTGACTCAAGATTTTATCTTGTTTAGTTTAAAGGCATACTAAGTAGGATTTTCCTACCTGACGTCTGTATCTGCAGAGACACTACCCGGATTGCCTGGAGTTTCTTATTTTCAGAAGATTTCTAGGTGTCAACCTTTAGGCAGCGTGCAGGGTCTGAGGTCGGGACTATATAAAAAAAACGTGGCAAGCAGATCGCTGTCTCCATCTCTCTCCTCTGCTCTCTAGCGCTGGCACAGCACCAAAACTAAGTGTGTGTAGAGATAGGTCTATGCAAGACTATGAATGTATAAAGAGCTGCGGACTGTGTGTCTGTTTGACCGAGGCAAGGGATGAGATGCACACAGCAGACAGGCGCAGCGGACACCGCAGCTTCGGCACACAGTCAGGCAATGCACACCTTCTGCAGGATTGTGTGGACGTGTTTTAGAACATAACTGCCGTGAAACGATGAGAAGATACTGTTTTATGTATCATGGCTGCAGCGGCTACGAGTTCCAGTCGGACCTGTGGCCCTTTGCTGCGTGTCATCCCCTCTCATCCCACGTCAGTCTGTCCAAAAATACTGTTTCATTTCTCTTATTCACTGCTTTGTTCTTGGTAACCAAGCTCCCTCACTCCATTCACTGTCTACCTTGTTCTACAAGTTTGAATAGTAGGTTTACCAATACCAATATGTTTCTGTGACCTTAATCTGTTTAGTTCATTGTTAAAATTTAATGGATCTTAGGTTGTTTCATAACATTATTTTAGTGACATTGAAATCTTTCTTTTTTCTGTTTTTATGTCCTTTGAAATTAAACTCTCAGATAGAAAACATGAAATTTGAGTCTTCAGTAATTGTAGAGCAGATCAGAGCGTAGATGACGTTAACAGGGTTTCCTCTGACGGTTTTGTTATGTGTTACACACCCTAAAGTTTGTCTTTTCAAGTCTTGTGTTTGAAACTGTTGCGAGAGCAGGCACCGGAATAACTGTCGTTACAAAGAAAAAATAAACCCCACCATGAATCGGTGAAATAAAGCACATACTGTGAGAGTCTCATATGACCCCGCTGTCCTGTCACTGCATTCTGTCCAGTGCAACAGAACAAATGTCAAAAAGTGACAGAGGAAATGATTATCTGAACAGCAGCTGTCCCTGTCATCGTTTCTACACTCTATTATTTGAGAAACAAGGGCAGTTACGCAACCAAAGAACAACAGAGAGAAGAAAAAGTGCAACTCGGCCCAAACGACTGGTAATCGCAGCTTAGTATTTAGGCCAAAGGTGCTGCTGGTCTTTGGACTCGGCCTTGAGAGTCTCCCCAGCTCCCCGGGGCCCATGAGAAAGCTCTGGGCTCCCCCTGGGGTTAGCGCTATCTGGGCCCAGCTCCAAACTAAAGCCCAGAGCCTTGCCGGGAGCCTTGAGAACTGGCCTTTCTTATCTCAGGGAAAGGGAACTGCGAGAACCTCCACCCCCACTGGCTACTGGGCTTTGTTCAGCGTGAAGCCGCGGGCCGCACACACACACAACCTCTTGCGCTGGGCCCGGTTAGGCACTAGCTGTGTTTTTTGTTTTCATTAGATCAGAAATGAGAAATTGTGGACACACTGGAGTCTCTGTGTATAAATGTTTGGATACTGCGCTGTACATATTTTGAACATAATTGCATAATGTGCAAGTTATGTTCTAAAAGCGGGCAGCTATTATGAAAGCTTGTGTAGTTTTGGGTGGAATTTGTCAGGGCCGGGGATCAAGAGTGGCCTGAGATGCAGGAAGAAGCTGCACTGGTTTGTTTTGGCCCCGAGCCAATGCTTCAAGAAGGAAAACAAGCCTGATGTGCGCACACACACACACACTCACACACACACACACACAAAGAAATCACACACACACATTTACAATGATATCCATTTATAATCAGCACAAAATGAGAGAAACAATTTGTGTAACCCGCCTTGTTTTCTGTTTCTCCCTCCAGGCTGCAGCAGCAGCAGCAGCAGCAGTGATGGCAATGAGGACAGACAGATGGACAGCCTGTACCTGAAGTCTCTGGAGGGCTTCATCACCGTGGTAACATCAGACGGCGACATGATATTCCTGTCCGAGAACATCAACAAATTCATGGGGCTCACGCAGGTACACAGGCGTTAAAGGGCACCAGGAATAGAATAAAACACACGTGCAGACAGGCATTCATTTTGAACGTGATGAGTCATTTCACTTTTAATATCCACACTAGCAGAGTTGTTGAATTTGTTATTAGTACAGTGTGTAAAAACACTCACATTGTCACATGTTAATAATAATAAACCACAGTTAAAATCAATCAATAAAGACAAGAAATGCTGTTTTTTAGTCTATAATTATTTATTTTGTTTTAAATTGTAAAGCTTTCAAACAGTTTGAAATACTACCAACCCAAGGCTGTCAAACATTGCAAATAAAGCTTGTGTAATTAATGTACATAAAGTAATACATAAACTTAACGTTACTTAACTGAACTTAAATTGTCTACATTTGGTTTCACACTGGACACGAACAGCGACCTTCTGGGTTAAAGTCCTGTGATTGTTTAAGCCATCTACTCACCCTGCCACCTCCATATGTGGAGTGATGTCATTTGACTTAGATTGTGGGTGCATCTAGAAATGACAGAAAGTGGGGGTTAGAACGGGTGGGTTAAACATACTGAATATATAATGTCTGTGACGTCCTCACAGTTTTACCAGTTTTTTTCTTTTTTTCATTGAATTGATTTAGTTTGATTATGTCTTCAACAACACTATTATAACACTAAACCAACAGCATTATTATGATTATTGAAGCATAGAATAAGAAAAGAGAATAAAAGAAACTTGTCCCACGCAGATGTAATTACTGCAGACTCAATATACAAATACTACATTTAGTCAAATTTGAATTTCTTTCCTGTTTTCTGTAATGAAAAGTATTTCTTTCTGTTTTGTGGTATAAATATTTGTATATATTTTGCTATTTTAAGTGAAAAAAGCAAAGAGGAAAACCTTAACACAGACAGGGAGTCACAATCGGAGACATGGACGTTAACTGTCAGTCAGATGAGTCCGTTGTGTTTGTGTGAAATACCTCTCATGCCAGCAGTGTGTGTTCAGCCCAGACACTGAGGTTCAACTCTATACAAACTCAGCATTTTTTCGTTCTCTGGCACCGACGTGAAAAGCAAATCGTAGACGAGGTGAAGTTGACTGTAAATTGTGAAGCATGGGCTCTTCTTTTTTTGTTGATTTACTTCAGCGTCCACGCCGATGAGCTTCTGTTTGTTTAGTGTCGAAGCAATTTGGGTGTGTAGAGGTGACACACTTTCTGTTATTTGTTCGATCCGGTTGGCTGTCATTACTCACGCTCAAAGCCCAGTTCTTCTTCTGTTTATCACAAAACAAACCACTGTTGCTGCTGCCAGAAATTAAAAGCACAGCATGTCAGAGTGTTGAGACCAGATACTCTGACAGTGACAGCACAGATATGTATTTCTATACAAATGTTATGATATTATGTTTGTTTATTTTATCTTTCATATTTCACAAAGTTGTTTTTATTTTTTAGGTGGACCTCACTGGTCACAGCATCTTTGACTTCACCCATCCATGTGATCATGAGGAGATCAGGGAAAATCTCAGCCTGAAGACAGCTGGTCAGCACACACACCTTTTATCCACATATTCATTCTTGTTTTTACCTCATTATAACAATGTGTGTTGTGTCATGCAAGTTTTTAATGCCATGTGTCATTCTCACCCGCCCTCTTTATTCGACAACTACAGTAAATCTGTCTTATTCCTTCTAGAAGTGTAACTAGAGCAACAGTCATGGAGTAATCTAATCAGCAGGTCCCATAAAAGCATAAATGTGCTCGGCAATTCACATGACAATCTGCCCACATGTCTTGTGTGGCAAGTTAATATTTTGACCTGAGAGTTGTTGCTGTAGTATTATAGTAGTAAAACACAACAAGTTGATTCTGAAGTTTTGGCCATTCGTTTTTATAGTCATGGAACCGCCATTTTTATCAAGGGAACTTTGAAATGAGTAAGAAGTAAGTAAAATGAAGTATAAAAACATACAGAGAAGAAAAGAATATATCCAAATAAATATATACTTTAATTACAAGCAAGAGTGTGACAAAGGTGTAAGAACAAATCAGGGCAAATTTATAGCACAAATAAAGTGCCTTAGAAAAAATGAAGTATAAACAAATAAACAAATGTTGGCAACCTCACAACTAAAAAAAAAAAATCATCACAAGTGTTGAACTTTGAATGAAGGACAACTTTGTTGCAACATTCACACCATGTCGGTAGACTGAGAAGATTGGGAAGAACTCACAATTCCATCTTGTACATATTAAATAAATGGGAATATTGAATATTAGCTTTTTCTTATATTGTGACATAATTTTTGGTGTCAAACTCACATGCAGCGTATAGCTCCTTCTTAGTTAGCTGAATTGATTAATCAGATTCATTTTGGATTGGATGGCTCAGTTTTGCACAAAATATAGGCTACAATCTGTAATGTAATTCATATTAAACAGAAAAATCTTATTTTACGTACCTCCTTTTCAGAACTAGTTCAATAATGGTCAACCACAGATGGTCTAATGATGCTTAAAGCAACCTAAATATAACTGATAAAGCTTTAAACAACTATAATGTTTAATTTTATAACCCATGACTTGATAAACTATCTATTGAATTCAACTTACTTACAATTCTAATTGCTCTTTTCTGTATATATATAGTAGATTTATATTAGTTGTATATAGGTTGCCCCACACCTTTGCACAGTAACTAAAGTATGACAGAATAAGTGAGAAGTACAACATATACATTGCTTTGTTCAGACTTCATACGTTGTGTCAGAGTCCGCCCACAGACAGTTCAGATATGAAATTAATTCAAGGTAAACAAGGCAAAAACCCATACATGTGTGGCGTTATGTAATATTGTCTATCTCATGAACAAGTGTCCAGAACAAACAAGAGAACAGAAGGTCAGAGACCGTATAGAGAGGAACCTAAAGAGAGATACAGCAGGGGAGTGTGTGCAGGAGCTGGTGTTTATGTGTGCTGAGTGGAGGGAAGGACGATAAGAGCTATGAGCTTGAGGACGAGAGAGAGAGAGAGAGAGAGAGAGAGAGAGAGAGAGAGAGAGAGAGAGAGAGAGAGAGAGAGAGAGAGAGAGAGAGAGAGAGAGAGAGAGAGAGAGAGAGAGAGAGAGAGACTCGGCATTATCTGTTACAGATAGAGAGCATAGTGTGGTGTCCTCAGCAGAAAGTCACACACATACTGCTTTTCTTTTTTATGCCTAGACATTGAGGATTTTTACACAAAAGAATAATCATTAATACAACTGCATAACACGGGAAAATGTAACTGACTAAGGTTTAGGATAATTATCTCTCTCACACAGAAATACACACACACACACACACACACACACACACACACACACACACACACACACACACACAGGACACGGAATTGGGCCAAGTTGTTACATCACAAGGTCAGAGTTCAGCCCCGGAGATGCAGCCGCAGAGCTATGTGGTGAAGTGTGCCTTTTGTTAATCTGCACACTCACAAGTGTGTCTTTATCTTCATATAGTTATACTTAAACAAAACAAACATACACAGAAAGTGTGTGTGTTCATTTATGTTTGTGTGTGAAGTGTGTTCAAGGGAAACGGTCTACAAAATATTCAGTATTGTTTGACTTGTGTGTTTTGTGGCCACTGCTGATAAGAGGTATCAACCACAGCTTAGTGTGTGCGATTGTGTGTGCGTGCATCTGTGTGTGTGAGACCTCAGCGAGTCTAAACCTTGACCGTTTTCCCAGTGACACAAGGGAAAGGCAGATAAGAGGACGGTTACCTTTAACTTTTTTGTTCAGTTTGCCACTAAAAACAACAAAAGAATTGAATCGGAAATATAGTAATTACAGCTACAAGCAGCAAGTATGTGGCTGGGCTTCAGTTTAGTCATTTCATCATAAAGGGAAAAAAGAGAGCGCCCAGTTAGCTCAGCGGGTAGAGCTGGCGACCTATATACTGAGTCCGAGTCCTTGCTGCAGTGGCCCAGGGTTCGAATCCAAACTGCAGCCCCTTGCTGCATGTCATCCCCCCTCTCTTTGCCTGTCTTCAGCTGTCACTATCATAAAGCCCAATAAAAGCCCCAAAAAATTCTTAATCTAAAAAAAAAAATTAAAACTAAAGGGAAAAAGGTCAAATTAAACTCCTGATACTCACAAGTAAAATAGTCACGTGTTTTTATTGCTGTGGTTTCAAAGGACAAAAGCATCAAACTGAAAGTGAAACATGAGTTTTAAAGGCTTGTAGTGTTAAACGAACAAGACCAAAATCGAGAAGACTGACTATTTCTAAATCGTCATTCTCAGTGCCATAATGCCTTCCACCTGGTTGGATTCAGTTGTATTCTCCTTAAAATCAAAGTTTCTTGTAGATGCTTTAAGGATCTGAGCTACAATCTGTAACAGTGTAATTCATATTACATAATTAAGGACCAGTGTTAAGGATAAAGTGGCATCTTGAAGTTGCAAATTTCAATCGTTTTTCTATAGCTCAGCCTTCCAAGCGAACGGTGGCCATGAAACTTCAAAAGCTACAGCCAGTGTTTAATTTGACTGGAAACATGGCAGTTCAACATGGTGGCCTCCATGGAGGGGGACGCGCTCCCTCTGTCGATAAAAATGACTCATTCTAAGACAACGAAAATGCAACGATTGTTATTTTCAGGTGATTATACTAATGAAAACATACCTATCAATATTATATTCTATTTTTGCCAATAGATCCTCATAAATGTTACACACTGGACCTTTTAAGACCCGAAAAATTGTTCGATGTTGAGTGCAGTTCCCTTCACGAAACGAACAAGAACCTTGATAACACAAAAAAATCTGGTTTGCGTTTCTGTAAATTCATCACTCCATGTACTGTCAGAAGTCACATATAACACACATGCCTATTGTCCTGCAGGAGTAATATTGGTTGAATTTTCCCCCTGTGTCTGTATGTGTTTCAGGCAGTGGCTTCGGTAAAAAAGGTAAAGAGCTGAGCACTGAACGAGATTTCTTCATGAGGATGAAATGCACCGTGACCAACAGAGGACGCACCGTCAACCTCAAGTCAGCCAGCTGGAAGGTGAGAGAGAGCTGCTGCAGCTACAAGCCAACACATCTGCAACATCTGTGCATCTTATGTGTGCAGGTCTTGGTTATGAAAATAAAAGAAACACATCCCATACATTCCTATACAGTGATTACTTCTAGTTGGCTGTTCAGTAGATCATTGGTTTCCAACTATTTTGGCTTGTGATGCCTTAAAAATAAATTAATCAATTTGATCAATTTGCATCCAGACAGGTTGAATATCTGAAAATATTACGAACAGTTAGCCAAAGAGCAATTTGTCCTTGTCAGACTGATTTATTTGAAGAACGTAGAGGCCTGAGGAGATAAAATTATCCAGCAATTTACAAGAAAAGGCAATGATTACACAAAAGTCTGAAAAATAGGCTTTTTCTTGCATATTTATTTCTGATTTCCTATCTGGTTAACAATCACTCAACCCCTAAAATGTATTTAATGCACTTCCAAATTAAGTAAAAAACATAAAATGTATATTTATTGGACACAAATCTGGCTGTGCGAGAAGTAGCAAAGAACAAAAAATGTTCAAGTGTTAACATGTAAAGTCCTTTACTGAACAGGTAATTTCACAAAAATGACAAGACGTCAGGTCAATATCACCTGATAAAAACACAAAACACCAGCGTCACCTCCTATCCAGTGACCTCCAGCTTTATTGCTACACCGTGTAAGTTACATTTTTCCTCCTGCTGTTCCCTCCAGGTGCTGCATTGCACCGGACAACTGAAGATGTACAACAGCTGCCCTCAGCGAGGGCTGTGTGGCTTCAAAGAGCCTCCGCTAACATGCGCTGTCCTGATGTGCGAACCCATCCCACACCCGTCCAACATCGACACACCAATGGACAGCAAGACCTTCCTGAGCAGACACAGCATGGACATGAAGTTCACCTACTGTGATGAGAGGTAGACAGAAACACATTCCCAGTGGGATGCACGCAGCTTGAGGTTGGATTGCCTTTCAGATAGACAAACAGGAAAAAGGGCAGACATTTATGAGGAGAAATAGTGTGCTTATATCACCATCTCTGCTGCTTTATCATGAAGGCAGTAAGCTGGATTTATCTTGGAACTGAATTGTAGAATAAAGTCTGTCAGACAATGAGAAGAAAATGTTTTCTTTTACTTTTTGGATCTCTGGCAATGAGAAAACAAGTGTGATCAGTTTGATTTATTTCAGTAATAATGTCAAGGACTTAAGCCCAGTTCAGACCAAAGATATATGACGAGACAGCACAGTTTCAGAAAGTTGCAGAGAAAAATTTTAGTGGTGTGACCTGGTTGTCGACTCAAGCTGGTTGATGCCGTTGCGTGCAACTCAACTTGTCAAATATCCAGTGGCTGTTACGTAGGGCGTGTCACCTGTTTCAACAGCCAATCGGCCTTTTGCAAAGTCAGCCGGTTAAGTCAGTTACAGTCTGTCAGCTGGTTGAAATGTCAGAGTTTTGGACGGAGGAAAGAGAGGATGACCTCTTTGACACAAACCTTAAAATGTACCCATGCACACATGGACAATCAAATGCCCATCAGAAGTTAACAGAGCTTGAAATTATGTCTTGAAATTAGTTATTTTTCCTTATAAACAATGAAAATTTAATTTACAGCCATACGAAACAAAATTTGAAAAAAATAAATCACATTTTAGAGTCTGAAACCAGAGAATGTACTTGAAAAATGATTTAACAAAAAAAGAATTACTGTTCTTATTGAATCTTTAAAGAACCGCGGTAGAGTTCAGTAAAACAGCACCTTCACGTTGTAGACCGCTGCCAGTTAAAACACAGTACTAAAAGTACAAACTACACACACACACACACACACACACACACACACACACACACACACACACACACACACACACACACACACACCCAAGACTTTCTGACTGATTGCAGTGTGTTGACTGAAACAGTTTGACTTGGCAGGGACGTGAGTGGGAAATGTAAGCCAGAGATGAAACATTAATACTTTAATAAGATGCTGTCACGACATTGTCAGACTGTGGCAAGTGTTCCCAATCACAGATACTTGTGTTTAGACAAGCCTAAAAACACACACATTTCAGTATTTCAAAGCTGTCACTTACGCTGCCATCTGACATCCTGTCAGTCATGTCAATGGGACAGAGCGTGTGTGTGTGTGTGTGTGTGTGTGTGTGTGTGTGTGTGTCATGTTTGTGAAATGATTTGTCCCTTTGGACTTTAACTTCGTTACACGCACAGCGGTCATCTTTAAGCCAAAGAACCGGCTCGTTTGCACCTAAATATTTCTCTCCCACTGGCACGAGGAGGTATGACGAACACACACACACACACACACACACACACACACACACACACACACACACACACACACACACACACACACACACACACTGATTCGAGTTACACAAGCAAATGCTTGCAGACCTGTAATCTTATCAAGTTGCTCATGCAGGACAAAGGTTTCTTTTGGAGAAAAGTGAATGTGCATTTGTGTATTGCGTGCACATATCTGTGCGTGAGCGTGCTGCAAACAAGGACCCATTCTCTTTTTCGCCTTTTTGGTGCAGTTTAATAGCTGCCCAAATCTTCTCTCCAATTACGCAAATGAGTTTATTGTTGGTGGGTCGCCCTCCTGGCTCAGCAGGGACTTAGACTCATTAGGGAAGGGACAAAAAGTTTCTTTGGCTAATGTCAGGCAGAGTGAGAGGTTGAGTAGGGAAAGGAAAGACAAAGCAAGAGTCGGAGCAGGGAAGGAAGGAAAAAGGAAAGAAACTTCTCACTTAATGGAGAAAGAGTGAGCAGGACCAACTGCTGAATGAGTGGCAACATCCAGGAGAAGTCCAACCTTAAAGGCTTATACAACTTGTTTAAAACTCCTGAAAAGTCCAGTTGATTCATTGCATATGATTATTATCACTACTCATCTGGTTATATTTTCTATCTTCCATTTATCTAACCACTGCTTCCTTTGCCCCTGCCCTTAATTCACTTACTTCCTCAGCATCTCCTTTCACCACCTGTTTTCAACTGATTTTGTCCACTTTACTTTAAGATTTACCTCTCCTCTCTTTCATTTTCTCTGCCCTTCCTTGCTCCCTCCACGCTGAGGCCTGCATCTGTCCCTGTTATATAATCTGAGGAAGAGTCTCTGCACGACCAGTTCTCTCTCCCCCTCTCTCCCCTTCTCTCCCCAGTCACTCTCACAACAAATCCACACGACACATCATCATCCACACATTTAATCTTCCTCCTACTGTGATTTAGTAATTTCAAATCAATCTTCATGATACACATTTTGACAAAAATTCCAGGAATTCTAGTCTGGGAATTCGTATTTGTCAGAAAGACTGAGTGCTACAGCACATAAAAATGCTGCAATGGGACCAAAATACAGTAAAACCCACCAGAACCCTCTTTTTTAGTCTTTCCACAGTCTCTGCAATTTTCACAGTTTTTGACTGGAAGCTAAATTTGATTTAGTTTGATTGATTGATTGATTTATCAGTTAAAAGATGAAACATCCATTGCATAGTGTGTTAAATCTTAATTATCTTTGTAGGAAGTGAGAAAGGTCCTACCTAGTTTGTTTGCAATCACACGTTGAAATTTACAATAAAATAGATTTTCAAAGTTTTGTAGGTAAGTTGCACTACGGGTTAGTTTTGTATGTTACCAAGCCAACCCAAGCTCATACATAATAGTTGCATAACACTTACAAACAGCTTATTTATTCAAGATAGCACAGGATTGTCTACATTCATCGTCCCAGTTTATCCTCTCTGGTCTCCTTGCCCATAAAACCTTGTGTTTAGGGGGTCATTTCCTGTTGTTGGTTTGGTTCATGTTCTCACAGCAGTTTGTTGGGAAGAGACTACACCAAAGTAAGGGAGCGAATAAACCACTCTGAGTATGTTTGGTGTTAATTAAGTTGGTTTTTATCTTCTACTCTCAGAAAAATGCATGTAACTTAATGCACCTGAATGTTACGAGGTAATTGAATGCCTCTTTTTTCAGATTACTGTAATCCTGTAATTTATCCCTAAAACCTGTATATTCAGGTATTCACTGGGAAAGGAGAGCTGGAGAGAAACAAAAGGAAAAGGGGAGGTTTTTAAATGAGGTAATTCAAAGCCAGCAACAAAATCCTCATTAACAAAGTGAACTCGTGGTGAGAGCGACAGAGAGAGATTAGCTGTTCCCAGAAACACAGGGAGTTAGCAGAGACAGAGAATGTGAGCAATTCTTATTTTTGGAAGACTGCTCACCTCTCTTGTTTAATTTCCAAATCGTGTGTGAAGCCTTTTGAAGTGCAGAAGTTCAGGACAGAGTTCAGGGTTGCGTGCAAGAAGGAAATCACAGAAAAGTTCAAATTAATAGCATCAAATCCAGTGCATTATTAAATGTGTGTGTTATATGTGTGTGTTACAGGGTAACAGAGTTGATGGGTTACACTCCTGAGGATCTGCTGGGTCGCTCAGTCTACGACTTTTACCACGCCCTGGACTCAGACAGCGTCACCAAGAGCCACCACAACTGTAAGCACACACAACTTACATGGATACACACTCAAAGCAATTAAATAAATATGAATCCTTGCTGGTGAACATGAAGTTGTTCAAGGAGGTGAAATTTGATTACCAATAAATGTTAAGTCGTTCAGAGGACCAATCAGAGCTCTCTCATATTCATTATATGAACTTGTGGATTCATTCAAAGGACGAATCAGTAGATAAAATGTTGTGCTCCTAAATTGAACTCATTGTTCTAGATTCAGAATTACAGGACGTGGTCCGTAAGAGACATTTTACAGGACAAGCCAAAAGAGAAAACCTGTACCTACAGTAGCCGACATAACAACAGCCCATTTCATGAGCTTTTACATGGCCTTGCGCTCCTGATAGCTTTCATTTTTTTACATTGTCGTATTGGTTTCCAAATAGTCCATGTGTCAGTCAGATTAGCAAAAACATATTCTTCCGTTTTCACACAAAAGTCCCATTTCGCACTGAGCTGATAAGATTAGCAGGAAATTACAGGACGACCAGCGAGTTCTCAGAAGAACAGTAGGTAATTGTGGCTGAAAAATTACCAATATACGCTTCGGATGGGATTAAAATCACTTTTTGATATTAAAGTCATCTTACTTATAGAGACATAAGTCTGACTGCCTTTAGAAACATTGTGTTTATTAGCATAAACAATCCAATTATAAAGCCTGGTTATGCTAGTTGACTAATAACTTATGTGTTGTAGTTACGTTACAACATGTTAGCAACAGTTACAATCCTGTGATGGTGTTGATAATGTGAGCCTTATGTACTCTGGTGTTAAGTGCATGTTAATTTAAATATCGATTCCTTTTGAGAAGCAAAAGTCATAACAGAATGTTAATTAGGTATGAATATCAGTCTGAATTTAAGTTTTCTTTTCACTGTTTTTAATTCCTGTGTGGTAATACATTCATGTCTATTTGTGTGTGTGTGTGTGTGTGTGTGTGTGTGTGTGTGTGTGTGTGTGTGTGTGTGTGTGTGTGTGTGTGTGTGTGTGTGTGTGTGTGTGTGTGTGTGTGTGTGTGTGTGTGTGTGTGTGTGTGTGTGTGTGTGTGTGTGTGTGTGGAGAGTGTGTACAGAGCAGGAGCATGGTATTAAGATGTCTTGTCTTTATTAAATCAAGCATAGCCACTGATGGCCTTATGAGGTTTGCTCATCTGCTGCCACAAACACAGTGGACAGGAGACCAGGTGGCCTCTATTACATTCTAATGACACTGTGCGTGTGTGTAGGTGTGTGTGTGTGTTTGCTAACAAGGCTCTGAAGTGTCATGGCTTTTCTCTGCACTGACAGTACGGTATCATTAGAAGCTCTAAACAGCAGTGACAGTAAAAGAGGAAAAGTGGCAATTTAGTTCCTTAAAACCACCCCTGCGACATAATGGCACTATACGTCTGTGTGTACACTGTGCGCGTGTGTGTGTGTGTGTGTGTGTGTGTACATTGCAAAAAACATTGGTTTAATTTTTCTGTGAGAGAGCCAATATAATTCCCCTATTTTAGACTACTACTACTCTGATAAATCACTGTTTTTCCCCCATAAAAGTTTTCACTTAGCAGCAACAAACATATATATTTTATCGCAAACAGAACTTAAAAAGAATAAAATAAAGTAAAAAAAAAAACAACTTAATGAATTAATATTTTATTATATATTATCTTGTCTTTTAATAGACCCATCCCTCATGGGATTATTAAAAAACAGTAACTGACAACGTAGCTAACATTCTGGCATGTTAACCCGGCACCGTCTAACAGCATAACACCTAAACAACAACCGAGCATTGACATATACCTTCCACAAATAATACTACAAGAGATATCAAACAATAGAAATAGAATAAATGTATTAATCTTAAATCATGTATTTAAGACAAATATTTCAGATTTGTCCATAAAGCCTTATTTTTCATAAAACAAGAAATAACTCTCATGAGTGTTGTTATCTTGAAACAAAAAAAAAACCATATGAAAGACCTTTCTTGAAAATAAGATTTTAGGGCCGTGTGGCTTTTAGGAATTGTGTGTTTTGTGTTGTACACAGATTCTATGTTTTGTGTGAGCATGTTCTTTTACTTCTTGTCTGAGTAATCTGTGTCTACAGTCCATGGTTGGCTGAAATCGCCTGAGATAAAGGGGCTCTCTATTTATCTCTCTCTATGTCTTACACGCTCACACACAGACGACCGGCTCTCACGGACAACGTGACCAGCCTGTCGATCAGCACATGCTAACAGCAGCCTCTGATACATATAATGTTGCCCTGAGGTTCCTTCGACACTCGCGCACACACACACACACACACACACACACACACACACACACACACACACACACACACGAACACACACACACACACACACACACACAGACACACACACACACACACACACACACACACACACACACACACACACACAGACACACACACACACACACACACACACAGACACACACAGACACACACAGTTACTGGCCTTCTGTACACTCTCTGACCACAGCCCTGCTCCTTTCCCACGCCAGTGCTGAACTTTGGACTGTAGCCAGCACATCTCCTTCTCAGCTCGAAGTCAAACATCCCACTTGGTCCTGCTAACTAATGTTTGGTTGATTTCACAACCTCGCACAAAATAAATACATGCATATTTTGTGAATAATGCAATAATTAGGCATTTAAATAACATAAAAACGTCAAGCACATAAAATACAGCACATGCAGCTCGTCTGAGCTTTGACTGCAGAGTTGCAGTCAGTATAACAGAATACAGTATCAGGCCTTGACATTAACAGACTAAAGTGAGCCTAAGTAGCTTTCACTTCACAAGGTACTTTCTCACGTAGGGTGAATTTCTTTCTGAGAAGATTATTTAGCATGTACTTTGTTACCGGACTGTTACTCAGAGTCAAAGTGCGTTATTAAAACTACACTACTACGCCACCACACTACGTTTCGCTGAACGACGTGTGGCATTATTGAAAAGGGTTTCTAAGGAGGTTGTAAAATGGTCTCTGCCTGTAAAGGAGCATGTTTACTCCTTTTTAGAATAAAAAAAATTACCAAAACTTGAGATAAGGTTTTCACCCCAGATGGACAATTTGAAAATATAAATAGAGACTGAATAGAAATATTCCAACTCACCCTTTTACTCCTATCTTATTTTTTCAAAACACAACACAGATCCAACATTCAACAAATTTTACTTTACAAATTTTTATTATACCATTGTTACTTACTCTCACAATGGGTCAAGTGTGAATATAAGTGGTTCTGTGTGCAAAGTATGACATTGTAGTATATGTGAACAAGGTTTGAGCCTCATTAGGATCATTAAAGATGTTTGGGCAGTGAGAGACAGAGTTATTATATATATATATATATATATATATATATATATATATATATATATATATATATAATGTCCGTACAGAATATTGTTTTAGTTAGTTTTAGTTAAGTATAATAACTTTGGTGAGAGGACGGTTTATTTCTGCAACATGAAAACATCTTCACTGTCAACCTGAGCATGAGTGGCTCAGTTTCACACGTGAATGGCCTTGAGTTACCAAATACAATAGCTCATAACACGAAGGTATTTCCCACTTCTCTCTTCCTGCAGTGTGTACCAAGGGTCAGGCAGTGAGCGGTCAATATCGTATGCTGGCTAAGAACGGAGGCTTCGTCTGGGTAGAAACCCAGGGAACTGTTATTTACAACAGCCGCAACTCCCAGCCCCAGTGCATCGTGTGCATAAACTATGTCCTCAGGTAAGCACTGTTATCCTGTTGAACACAGTTCTGGCTAACGGTAGGTGAAAATATGTCCAAATCAGGTTTTATTTGGTCAAAAAGTGTCAATTGTTTCAAATGTCTTGATTACTTAAAACCATATTAGAATAGAACCTGCCAAAAATTACCATCACAGATCATTCATGTTTCTAACACAAGAGCTTAATATGAGATATTTTAGGGTATTTAAGGGTTTTATGTACTGTAGAAGTGTTCTCTGCATTCTGTATCCACACCAAACCCAACTCACTCTGCTCTCCCTCTCCAATCCTGCAGTGACATTGAGGAGAAGGCGACTATTTTCTCTTTGGAGCAGACAGAGTCCCTGTTCAAGCCACGCCACATGAGCAGCTTCTTCACTGCTGGAGGTGCTGGCATGACTGGAGAGCCTGGAGATGTTCTCTTCACCAAACTCAAAGAGGAGCCAGAGGACCTTGCCCAGCTGGCTCCAACACCCGGAGACACAATCATTTCCCTCGACTTCGGTCTGTACTGACTTCTGTCACCTAAGTGCATTTGTTGGGGTCATTATTATGATTGCTCTTGGCTAATGTGTCCTGAACAATTCCCTCTACAAATGGACACCTTGTAGCGCATTATTACACTTAAACCACTTTCCAATACTAAAACCTGAAACAAGAAATAAGTATTTTCCATGATATTAAATATTTTGAACTTCAGCACTGCTTTGAACCAACAGATTTACCCTTATTTAAGGCTATAAACGCAACTTAGATCTTGGCAAGATTAATATTTTTGTACAAATTGGCATCAGCATTTAGTGTCTCATGTTTGTAAAACCTTTTCCCCATGGCACTTTATCTCGCTATTCTTTTCAACTCATTCTAATTTCTACTTCTTTCATGCAGATCGCCCTCAGTTTGAGGAGCCCCAGCAGCCAGCTGGATACACCCAGGTGTCTGCCACAGCTATGCACGCTCCGGGACCTCCGTCCTGGGCCAGCGAGAGCCACAAGCCTGCCCCTCCAGCAAGGCTAGGCCAAACCCCGGCTCAAGTTCCAAGGGACATGTCTAACATGGCCAGTACATTCACCGTGCAGCAGAATCCACCAATGGGCAGCCCCACTCCGAGCCTCAGCAGCTGCTCCACGGTGAGGACGAGGACGGAGGGTGCAACTGAGAGGCTGAATGTTAAATTGAAAAGGAGTAATTAGTTAGTGAGCGAGGGACTGGTTGCATTTGTTTCATAGTTTGTTCTCTCTGTTCAGTGAGGCCTGGGGGGGTTAAAGGTCACTAACTGTGGGCAATGTGTGTGGGAATAACGGGGGTGGATGTTTGGAAGGAACAGGCTCTTACCAGTGAATAGTGCCTTTGTCAAAGCTCATCTTTCACTCTGTGTTTCTTTCTCTTTCATTTTACACTCTGTTCTTCCTCTTACATTTTGTCCCTTTTCTCTGTAATTGTCATCCTGGTCGTCTCTTCCTTTACCTCTCTTGCCCCCATCCATCATTCTCATTTCCTCCATCCTCCCCCTCGCTTTCATCCCTGCAGCCCAGCAGCCCAGGTGATTACTACAGCTCCGTGGAGAGTGACCTGAAGGTGGAGCTGACCGAGAAGCTTTTAGCCCTGGACACAGAGGGCAATAGCAGTCCTGCAAACACTGAGGTGTGTGTCCTTTTCTTCATCCCATGAATACGCTTATGTCTAAACCTTTTCCTCTCTGTGTTATTCTTTCATTAATTTGACTAAGGAGGCCTTGTTTACGGAATCTGATTGAAAACTTGGCTTTCCTTGTCTCTCTTCCCTTTTTGGGAAAAGCTCATTTCAACATAATATTTTTCCCATGTTGAAGGATATTTTGTTAGTAGTTATACAACTTGACAAGCATTTACAAATTATTACTAGATTTAGTGGGTATAAATCATTTATTAACATTTCATCACTTTTAAGCCTAATAGTTCCCCTCTCTAAACTCTGCAGTTACCAGGTTTTAAGGTAATTTTAATTTTCAAAGTAATGACACATCAGTCTAGTTTTTAGAAACACAAATCTCTCTAGAGAGCTCTATGTGTACCAAACTTTTACTGCCTCTGACTTCACTTTGGAGTCTGTTTCTTGGTTCGACCTATTTTAACTGACTTTTTTTCCATATTGTGACAAACCATGTAATATTTCCTTTTTCCAGAGGGACCTGAGTGACTTAGACCTGGAGACATTGGCTCCTTACATTCCCATGGATGGCGAGGACTTTCAGCTGCATCCTATCATCCCAGAATCAGAGCCCCTGGAGCCAGGTCAAGCGGGATCCATGGGGAGCAACAGCAGCCTTACCCAAAAACCCCAGAGCTTCAGCAACATCGCCAGCCTCTTCCAGCCCCTGTCCTCCCCTCCTCAGTCCCAAGGCCACTACCAGCACCAGACAGATGCATCCTGGGCTGCAAGGGAGAAGAGAGGCTCCAGCCAGCGGAATGTGGACCTCCGTGCAGGGTCATGCATGATGGGGCACATACAGAATCCCCCATACCAGGCACCAGCCAGCACCCCTCTGTCCTCCATGGGTGGCAGGCAGAATCTGCAGTGGCCACCGGATCCACTGTTAACCTATCAACAACAACCACGTGCCACCAAGGCCTACCTGATAGACACGTTGGCAGGAGAGGAGCGCCTGTCCTACCAGCAGAGCATGCCACATCTCATGCAGAAACAGAGGTGATGTCCTCATATTTTAAAACAAGACTGAAATGATAACTCACAAGGTTTTCAAAATGAATGCAATGGTAGAACTACCAATCAAAAAACAGCTGGCTGTTTTGACATCAAATTCTAAATCTCGTTGTGTGTACTTTGTGTGTGCAGGTCCATTGACAACTTTGTACAAGCCTACAGAGACATGAGTCCAGCCAGAGTGGCCATGACCAGCAGTATCAAGCGCTCCTTCACCCAGATGGCTTCGGTGAGTTTCTCTAATAACCATACAGTATTTATCATACAACAAGTTTCCAGGGTTAGGGTTAGGGACTAGGAACAGGACCAGGTTTGACTTCCAAAATATTTTTGATGTCACAAATGATGCTTGTAGGCTCCGCCCCTTAAAATCACGTTTTCAGTGAGCACAGAGAAACTTTCCACTTTCAGCAGATGAATGTGAAAACATTCTTCTAGCACATACATCATTCTGTACAGTGAAGCTCAAACATCAAACTATAGGAACAACAAACCTATTTTTGAGTGGAGGCTAAAGCTGTGTGCCTTGAATTGTTTGGGGAAATCACTGTATTTTTGTGGACGTACAGCTAATTACATAACCATGTGATTGTGTCTCAGGATGAAAATAAGCCATCAGAAATCATCTGGAAGAAGATGAGGGATGACAGATGTGCCGCCATGGATCGCTCCCTCAGTGCAGGATCACTGACAGGTATGTGCTACTTGTTTGTGTGTTTAAAAAAATAGCTCACATTCTTATCTCTTCCACCCACCAACTGTTCTTGTAATCTCTCTGTCTCAGAGTCAGGGATGAGGAGGATGGTGTCAGGCAGCATGTCATGTATCAGCTCTCTGCAGCAACACAGGAAGTCTCAGTATCCCGGAAATGGGATAGGTGGCGTAAATGAGAAACCCTTTCCCCAAAAGAGCTGTAACTACACACAGTATAACATGATGCCTTCTAACAAGACTGAGGGTGAGCTGACCGGACTTTACCAGTTAAACTGCCTAGAAACTCAACTAACATCACTGGCTTATGAAGTCAATATAGTATGGAACTGAGTCATTAAGTTTTTATTGATTGTTCATACTTAAGATTTACACACTAAATTCTAGAATTATTTTGAAAGAAGCTGCTTTCTGATGGAAACAGGCCAAAGTATTCTAACTCCTCTGGCAGATTTCTTTCACTTATTTTAAACATACTACAATGTGTTTTTATCTGGTTATGAATCTCAGTTTAATACTGATGCCTCTATGTGACCTACATAAATACCATCAGTGAGAATATTGGCTATTTAAATATAGTTATACTTAGTGCCTGCCACTGGCTCGGAGAAACACTACCGCATGGTTCCCAGGGGACGCCAGAATCAACACAAAATGGAAGTTCCTTGTAGATGCTTTAAGAAAATAAGGTTTTTAGGTCTTCATTACAGACAGAAATTATGTAATAAGATTAAGATGATTACTTATTTGACTTAGTGGCTACCTACCTGCATGCTTAGATTCAATTATTAAGATTTCTCTGTCATTTTTCAGGTATTGCCAGTCGTCTGCTGGGCACTTCGTTTGAGTCCTCCTGTCTGCCGGAGTTGACCCGTTATGACTGTGAGGTCAACGTCCCACTGCAGGGCAACCTGCACCTCCTCCAGGGCTGTGACCTGCTGAGAGCCCTGGACCAGGCCACCTAGAGCTCCAGATTCAAACCCCGCCATAGACCCAGACTTACTCCTAGCCCGGGACATAAGCCTCTTTACCTTTGTACCTCTGGGCTCTCTAAGAGTCCTAAGGGTTAAGCTACCTATAGGGAATGGTATACATAACCACATCCTGTCTTATTTAGCTTATTTGGCTCAGCCCCACACCCCTGTCCCCATATAGCTCTGTACCTAGACCACCCAAACAAGCTACAATGTTAGGGTCAAGCCATTTTACACCCCTTTTCTCCAAGCTCTCGACTCAAATCAGATGCAGGTTGACCACCAGTGTAAGAAAATTGCCATGCATTGAGCTACCCACACACAAGACCCACATATATAAGGTAACATGGGTCACTTGGTGAAAAAAGGTCAAGGCGGGACAATAAACTAACAGAGTACAAAGTGATGCAACAGTCTGTCTGACCTGCATCAAAAAGTCGTGACACTGGGATTTATTGCTGGTTTGGTCTTGTCTCTCACAGGTCAGCTCTGTGTTTGGAAACACAGGTTGGGTCTTTGGTGTAAAATAGGTGTTGGTGTGGGATTAAAACACATAATATGCCTTAAAGACCAGCTCTGCCCAAACATCTACAGTCATACACATTGACCACCAGCAGTCTCCTGCTAAGGCTAAGCAAGGTGGGAATCCACAGCCAGGCTAAATATTGGTATGGGATTCCAACCTACAACCTGTGTCTTATCCAGAACCAGTCTCCGTCACAGACCTACACCCTGATATGAACTCTATGCAGCTCGGTTCCTAGCCCTACCTTCCCTTCATTATCTTAACTCATTTAGCTCATTTAGCTCAGAGGAGGAGAAGATATTATACTACCTATACATTAACAGAGACACTGTGTTCTTTCACTTCATGTTTTTGACCAGCAATTAGATCCAGCGCACTTTTTCAGTTCCAATCAAAGCATCAAGCAAGAGTTGGATATCATGAAATAGCTCTGAAATGTAGCCATTTTAAAACGTGTACGGACAAAGGATTCTTTACAAAACATGCACTTTGATTTTGCTTATTGATTCCCCCCAAAAACGTGATAGTGCTGACACATTTTCCCCTTTGAACCTTTTAAAATGTGTCATTTGAATTATTTTTAGAGGTCAAAAGAAAATAATACTATTTATTCACACAAAACAAGCAAAAATTAGACAAAAGTCTGAAAAAATAAATACAACATTGTCTGCAAGAACAGAATCTTCTTTTCTCCTATCCCCTTCATCATATTGCAACCTCTTGCAATAAGCTATAGTAATGCAGGGTTGTTGATAACTGAAAAGATACAGCTCCCGGATCAGATAATGCTAGCTTTCAATGTCCAAACTCACGTAAAAACAACATTTAACTTTTTTATGTATATCAAACCTGCTTAAGATAGTGGGGTTTTTCATGTGTTCTTTTTTTAAATTTTTTTTAGAAGCTCCGATTTAATTTCATTCACAAAAGAAAAGCTAAAGCTCAGGATATGATGAGAATCAATAAGCCAAATCAAAATTATACCTATAACTCTTATCAAGCCTTTTCCACATATACAGACAGACACAATTATACAGTCATCAACCTGCCTCGTCTTGCCTGAATCCATCCCACCTGAGTCACTGCAACATCATACTCTGCTCTGTAGTGCATTTTGGTCATTTAGGAGTTTGTTTCTCACAATATAAAGTGGTTCACAGTAACATTACATCTGTTTGGGTCAACTTTAATGACATATGCATTATATTGTTTTTTGTTTTTTTGTTTGTCATTGAATTGAGAATCTATTTTAACTTTTATCAAATCTCCCCACATTGTTTAATCCAAATCGACGGGACACTTTAACATATCAATACTGCTTTGTTTCTCTTATTTACTTTTTTTTTTGTTCTTACTCCACCTACCATGTTCTTTTATTTTTGTGTCAAACTCACAGACACAATAGTAAACATATATTGCGACACATGTACTCTACTGTAAGTTGAATAATGATATGTTTTTTTCCTGTTTTTCTATTTTTCCTTAATCTTCTCTTCTTAAATCTACGTTTGATTTATCTCAACATGTTTCTCGTGTTTCTCGGTCAGGTAAGTAGCTTGTGTGACTACAGGGTTTTTTTTCTTATTGTGCAATTATTTCATTGAGCTTAGTCAGCAACAAAGCTAGCCTTATTCACCAAACAGATCGCTTGTACAAAAGATCTGACTTAAACACCCAGTAAGCGTGCATTTGATTACATATTGTAGGCTTACACACACTTCACACAATACAGAAAACCATAAAAATCAGTGGTGTGCAAAGGCTACGTAAGGGTGGTGGATGATGACGAAAAAGGGGCACCTCTCTTGTATGCAAGTATATTTTTAGGTTGATTTTCTTTTTTTATGCCCTTAATGGTCGTGTTTTAGTTTTTTTATTCTCCTGTCCCGGGTAATGCTTGATTGATGCTGCATAATATTTTCAGGATTAATCGTGTAAAACGAGCCCAAGGTAGCATATTCAAATCTCTTGACCGCCAGTCCAAGATATTCAGTTTACGATCATATATGACAAAGAAACACACACAACAATGTTCCAAGTTTCACAATTCAGTTTAAGCTACAAATGAAAAATCTATTCAATAATTTCCAATTCTTAATTTAGAAATTTTACTTAATTATTTTAAAACTCTAATGTAATTGACTGTTGGAATGATAGAAAACAATATTTTAAAGTCATAGTCAAAGAAAGAGTTTAAAATTAGCTTAAACTTGCAAAATCACTGGTATCCTCCTTTTAAGCGAACAGGATGATATTTGGGGGGGCTTTGAAGGAGATTTGAGCCAATCACAGGGCTAATCAGTACACTAGGGGAGATCAAAAGGGCACCTTGGCTGAACAGAAGGGAAGGCAAAAAAGACACTTCTGCTTTTACGCCCTCTTTGCACACCACTGCACAAACCAGAGAGTCTAAGAGACAGTAGCAACTACATAACCACTTACTCATTCAGACTATACTTGTGTACATAGCAGCAGCAACCTTGGTTTCAGTGCAGTACAGCAGCCTGTGACGTGACTTGAAAGTGGAGTGTATGTATTCTTTAGGATTAGGACAAGGCCAGTTTTTCTTACAGTTAACAAGATGGAGTGGCTGCCAATATCGGAAAGCTTTGAGCTAGAGTAGGTCAGAACTTTTGTTTTCAAACGACAAATATTTCCCCCAAATGATGTCAGTATAACATCGACAGTATGCCTTCAGTGAAAACACATTCTCATCATTTTTCTCTGTTCTCTCCTTTCCTGTACTCTCAGTATTTTTCTTGATCTCACTCTATTTTTTGAGGTAATTGTCTTTGTGTGGTGACCACTTTTGAGTATCAATTATAGAGCTTTGTACACATATACGTTACGTATTTAAAGACAAAACTAATGTCAAAGATAGTGTTTTTAGTGTTTATGTGTCCTGGTACTTTGTCCTTATCTACCCCTGTAGATGCAGATGGATCAGATCCCTCGCAGTGCTGTTTCCTCTCGTGCTGTTTCCGTGTTGTGGCATTTTGTTTTGTTTTATCCTTAAATATCTTTAATATCTTATTCCCTAAAATATCTATTAAATCTATTGGCTGGGCAGTACTGTTTTTGTTGCTGCTTTAAGAAGATAAAACAAAATATAACAGGGAAAACGTTGAGATTAAAACTGAATATCAGTTTTCTAAGTTTTACTTTTCAGATATGTAGCATTTTGAATACTGTTAAGAAGGTGAAGTTGCCACATAATCACATAGTTTTCCAGTTGCATATATAAAAGCAATGGTGCTTCATTGACCATGTATGTGTCATTTTTAGAACCTTTATTACATCTGTTGGATCCACTAACACTATTTTGATGTTCTCTGCTTTATGTCATGCTGAAATTTTCTTTAAAGTGCATTTTAATCCATATATTGTGCCTTATCATGGTTTTGTTGTCTCAACACATATACTGAGTTTACCCTTCAAGTGCACAGTTTGTTCCCTGCAACCTGTAGATGAATTCCTGTAACTCTGTGGTATATTATTGAATTAAATCCTAACTTTACATTGTATCTCATTTGAAAGTTGAAAATCTACTGAATTTACTGAATCCTTTGGTTTGGAGGTTTAATTTGCACTTTGCAAAGTTTAGTTGACAACAGACAATGTACAGTGGACAATTTTCATAATAACCTCTAGCTCCTTCATAGCCTCCTCTTTAGCCAACCTTTATTTAAAAACTGATAGAACAGCAGCCTCATCACCGAACATACAATAGATGCCTTTTATATTAAACTAGAACCCTATTAAAATCCATTGTAGCTCCCCTGGTGATGACGAGTCAAAATTTGTTTAAGGTTTTTAAGGTAATAGATTCCCCAGCTCATCAAACAACCTGAGTGTATGTTTGTTGATGAAGGGGTTTTATGTTTAGGTGAAAAAGATTTGACTGGGCAGTAAAGGTTCTACTGGGAGGTTCACAGGTCAGCAGGGACAGTACTGGCTGTTGAATGTCAATGCCTTGCTTTTGTAGATCAACAGGATCAACAGTGAAGGTTAGAAGCTGAATTTTGTGAATTTGTAAAAACAAACAACATACTCCCTTAAGCAGTTCAATAATTTATGACTTGATCATGTAGATAGTTTAAATTAAAGCTGTTCATAGGAGAGATTCCAATAAAATAAGACCGAGAAAAACCCACGAAAGACTGTGCCACACTAGTTTTAACACAGAAGCTTTAAAAACTATTATTCTTATTTTCATTGTTTTGGCCCATAATTCTACCACACAATCCCATTTTCGGACCACCTTAATTGCCACATGAATGGAGTGCAACATGATAATTGTACTCTACATGTGTAGAGTAAGGGTTCTAACCAAATCTGCAATTTAAGTATTTTAGGGTATCTAAACTACTTTTCTGGAAGTGAAAGTACCTGGACTCTTGTAAAGCTTTCTGCAGTGAAAGTGGAGACTACATCAGAGTCAATATCTATGAAGATTGAATGCAGATTGTAAAAAATACATTTTCACCAGGCACAAGTCACGTGATGTTTAATAGCACTGGAGATGAACATTATCCTGAGAGGAGATATGAAAATGCGTATTGTCGAGTTAAGAGAGAGGGAGAGACATCCTGCTCAGCCTGCCCACTGATGCATATCTCTCAACTCCTCCACTGGACAGTTCGCTCATCCGTTTCTACTCTCACTTTGCTTTATTTTAAGACTCAAATCCACCTTACAGCATGTCAGTGCAGATTTACAGTGTTTTTACTATTCTAAACAGTCCCAGCACTAAATTAATTTTTGGGGACCAAAGAGGTTTTAAGACATGAAATGTTCATGCACATGGAAGAAGAACAGCACCTTAGATTGAATTTTTTTTCAACTGCAGAGAACTAAATTGTGTTAATGTATGTGGATAGAGTTGGCTAGATGGAAGTCGATTTAAAATAAAAATCTAGGCAGAGGGGAAGTCCCACCCCCCTTTTAAGATAGCTTCTGCTCCACTAGCTTTGGCCAGACAATTTAAAATTGGTAAAAAATTAAAAATGTATACACTTAGTAATATTTTTAATAGATATTGCTATAACTTAGAATTTAGATGGAAAACCCCAGGAATAGGTGTCAGCTTTTCAGAAAGAATAGATTCTGAGAGAATCCATTAAGAAGCAAACGCTAGTAACACAGATGCTAAGCTAAAATGGGCGGGGCTTCAGCTATTTAAACCCTAGAAGACTTATCACCAGTCCTAGTGCTCAACATACTGTGCTGCTTGAAGGGTTTCCCCAAAACAAAAGGTTTCCGGAGTTAATCAACTCATTCATTGCACTTCTTCTTTAAAGGCAATATCAGCATTTTGTCTTGTGTAACAACTGGGTTTTTGTTTTTCTTCATGGGATCCATGTTCAGCTTCTTGTATTCTGTTTTTGTCAATGTCATACAGTACAGTTATATTAGCTGATTCTGCATTTTTTAAAATATGCTAAAAATTCATATTGATCTTATTATTATCATATATTGTTATCATTGTTATTACTATATGGGGAATTTAACCCAATAAGAAGTTTGTGTTTCTGCACTGATATCTTATTATTAAAGCATACTGATCTTACCCTCCCTTATCAGTTTCATGCGTGGTTTATTGTAGTTAATAGTTAATTTTTCATACATCAGGTTTTATATTCTGATTGAAAGATCATTAGTTAATAAATAATTGTAATAAAGGAAAATAATTAATTTATCATCAATGATTTCCCATTATAAGTCAAAGGTTTAGGTAGAGACGGCTCTGGTGAGTGGTATTTAGGACAGTTAACGTTAAATACAAGTACTCCGCAGCGACTCTAGGGGTAGCTGTTTGACAAAACCAGAAAACTGCATAGTATGCCTTTTAAATGTTTAAGTTTTGAAAAACCCAGCAGTTTATTTGACAACACTAAAGGCGTTTCAGCCAAATGGTATACAACTTGTAATAAATAAATGTATAATCAGCATAATATATATATATATATATATATATATATATAAAATAATTCACAATAATAATAATTCAATTTACAACATTCAAATTTCTCCCAAGATTATGGGTATATAATAAATAACATAAGTACCAGTACAGAGCCCTGTGGCAACCCCTTTATAAATTCTAGTATTGCAATAAATTGCTGCAGCTGGGTAAACTTGGATCAATTTGTCCCATTTTAAATCTGTTGAAGGATTACATGCTCCTGTATAATGTGAGTAAATTTGGCAGATGCAGGATTTTTTTTTTTTTACCTGTTGTCATTGAATGTAGGAGTACAGACCAATATATTTCTTTGAAATATAGACATGGAAAGATATGGCACATTACTATAAACAATATACATGCACTATAAAATTGTACTGAGCTGGTGCACTTCTCATCCTGTACTTTGAATTTGACAACCTGGGAATGAGACTCAGCAATCAGCTATCTTTCTCCAGAATAACTGACCCCACCGTTAACATATTACTCAGGTGACGGGTGAGAGTTTGCACAAGCAGGTCTCAGTATTTGAGTTGTTCTTCAGCCAACACTGTGTTCAGTTCAAGACCATTTAGCAGTTCCAAACACGCTAATTAAAGAACAGTCTGTACCAGCCTGTTCTGTGGTTTTGGTTCCTTCCTATTACACTCTACATTTCACGTTTTTTCTCCACATCTTTCTCTGCTTGTATGTCTATCTATATGAAGACCAATTTGAGAATCAGGCGTTGAGGGGATACTTTGGGAAAGTGAGGACATTTTGTCCTTTCTTCAAAAGGCTTTTTGAATTGAAGGTCCACACAGGTGTAGAAGTACAAACGTGTGTTACCTACCTACTGTTTCTCTCCTTATATTCATTCCAATACCAACAATTTAAAAACAGCCATAAAAGGAGAAAAAGTATCAATCAGTTTTAGTTGCGAGGAGCTTAGTAATACAATTTAATGAAATAACCAAGTACATTTACTCAAGTATCGTTCTCTTGTGATATACTGGTCTTTTATTTAAGTATTGTGTAAAACATATTTTTATATTTTAATTTATTCCTGCACTACACAAAAGGGGAAAACACTGTTAGCCTTTCAGATTGTTATACATGTGAAACATACAGTACAATAGGCTCATTAAGCATGATCAATTCTCAGAGTTTAAATAGAGTTTTTAGAGTTGCTGCAATTTTAACAAAATATATATTAAGGCCATGATCAAACATACAGTAAGCCCACAGCTGTAGGCATCCCTGGGATCAGAAGCAGCTACACAAAAAAAAAAAGCTAAACAAAAAAAAAAAAATAACATAAATTCTATTATGTATTTATTTCACATTTAAAGATCATTTTATAATTTTTTGGACATTTGTATTGCTTCTTTTAAAGACCGGAAGAAGGCCCTGTCTAGAGCCAGTGTTTGGTTTGTCCATTCTGGGCTACTGTAGAAACATGGCGGACTCCATGGAAGAGGACCTGCTCCCCCTGTACATAAAAACGTCTCATTCTAAGGTGACGAAAACACAATTCTTATATTCAGGTGATTATACAAAAAAATATACATCTGAATAGATGAAACACTGACCCTTATGAAGGCTTACACTCATCTTAATTATAAACTCAAACCTTAACATAACCCAAACCTCAATGTAATACAGACTGGTTAAAGCTTTAAAGCGAACACTAAAAAATACATTATATATCATCCTAAATGTTACATGTTACAGACTGGAGCTTTGGCACTCTAGACTTCAGGGGAGACTGAGACTGATGTTAGAAGCCAAGTTCATATTAATGATGTGTCAACGTGATGGCCTTAAGTCAACTGTGATAGATTGAGAGCTTTAAAGTTGTTTATTTAAAATAAGGTACAGTATATGTAGCAGTTTTAAACTTGTATCTGACCCTCAAATCAGATCTGTTGTGGATCTTTGTAACCTTCTATTACACTGTCAGCATCATGGCATCGATGTGAGCAAAGGAAAAGAAAAGTAACCCCAAGAAGTCACATTTTTCCTCACTCTCTAAATGTTTGCCAGCGATTAAAAAGCTTTTTGATGAGTCTGGTCTGCTTCCCTGTTGCATGGAAAACATATTTCAAAGCTTTTACTCCACCTTCGTATTGTGCTTGATGTTTTTGTTTTGGATTGTGACGCACATCCTTTATTTGACTTGGACAGACAGACAGATAGGCACAAACAGGCCAAACTGGCACAAAAAGAAAGGACTCATTGTTTACTACCTTTTGTCTGCTCACAGTACTGGTCATTTTGGTGTTTTCAGGATACAACTTGAAATGTGGATACAAAACACAAAGCTTTAGCGAACCAGGATCATTCGCAAGTTAAGAGACTATAGGTATTGCCAACTTTCAGGTAGGCGGAAACAATTAGAATTGTAATGGGAGTGTTCTGAAAAGGGCCCTAACCTACTTCCTACCACCAGCACTGACAAAAGCAGACGGATGTACATATATACGGTATGTTCTGTATTTGCATTAGAAGTTATCAGCGATCTGTCAACATAATGCTCCAAGTACGAACTGAGAAAAGCCTACTACTATAAAACTTTGTCTTTGTTTTGCTCTGCATGGACACTGTTTTTGCATGTCTAAGTAGAAAAGACAAAACTATCAAATAAGTCCATGTCCAGTCCATGTAAGCTGGAGACATTAGCTCACATACTTTATATTTCTGTGCCACTATCACCAAACAAACCAGCTCAGTATATTGATGCTGCTGGTCAGTAAAGAGATGCACACCTGTTAATTTCCTTTTATGAGCATCTCTTGATGCACTACCATCATTTATACATGGTGTGTACTTAACAGTCCGTGTATCTTTTGGTCATTGGATGTTCCTTTCAGAAATGGGTATTAAAAAACAGAAAACGAGTGGTTATTTGATTTTCGTTTTAAAATACAAGAATTAAAATACAAGGCGTTTTTCTTTTCCATGGTCAAAAAGGGATGAGCGAAATTTAAAAACTTATTCGATTTTCATTTTCTATTTCATAATACAAAAAATAAAATCACTAGAAAACAGAAACGTAAAAAAAGGCCTGTTTTTTCATATTCTGAGGCCGGATGTTGTCATTTACAGGACGGTGCTGTGTAGAAGAAACAGTAGGCTAGTAGACTGCGGTCAGTCCGATCTCCGTAGTCAAATCAGCCGCACTTAAATTTCGAGTGATGGTAAATGCGGAGAAACAGCTTATTTACTTCCGGTTTTCAAAATAAAGGTATTTAGAACAGTAAGCTTGAATTAAAACATGTTACATTAAAGTGTTTCATGCGCCCCTAATGAATAAAAAACACTTTATATCAAGTTTACTGCACCAGTGTGGAGAAATGCCAAAATAAAAGTCTCATATTTATGCCTCCAGGGATTTCATATTTGACCATATTTTTTATATTCATAAATCCAATGACCAAAAGATACACGGACCTACACGGACCACTTAACAGTATGAACTGGTTTTATTTGGCTGGATCAAAAGCAATTTTTTTTTTCCCCACATCAGATTTCATTCAATTATAAAGAATAATAGAACAAGGCACCTCATCACTTCTGGTTAAACCGGATCCCAACACTGTGAATGATGGGAAAAGCTGGGGAAAAGCTGGCAGAAGGTGTGGTAGTTTATAGTCGGGTGCCAACAGATTCTGACGGATCCTGTGGTCTGTTTATCAGCCAAAATACAAAAAACCATATGACTTTTTTGTGGGGTTTTTGTGCTTCTTCCTTCCTCTGCAGGAAGACAGAAACCAAAACTTTATGGACACAAAAAACGGACACACACACACACACACGTCTTCAATCCCTTTGTTCTAGCTGATTCAGAGCCTTTTGTTTCCTTCAGGTAGGGAGTCATGAAAACATGGTGGAGGTAAAATGGGAGGAACCGGCGTCTCAGGCCGACCAGCTTCCTCTTGGTTCAGGTTTTCAAGGCGAGACTTTATTCAGTGTCTGCTGCAGAACAATTCATGCTGCAACAAAACCTTCTGACATCTCCCAGCCTCCCAGCCTCTGTGGCAACAACCTCTGCTAGTGCTTAATATATTATATAACTAATCCATTTTTATTTTATTTTGAAAGCCGTTACACATCTAGTGTGCAGACTTCTAAATTGCAAACATTAAGAGGCAACATCATACTCTGTGTACTCCTGATTAAATTAAATGTGTTACACAAGACTGAACTTCAGTTCTGTAAGATTTGCATCAACAGGTCTAATTTGGACATTATGTCATAATTTATCATAATCATTTATAGTGTGGACATCTGCCCAAGATCTATTATGCAACATAATGTCAAACTTCTGCACATGCAAACACAAACTGCAGTCTGGCTGGAACAATGTGTAAAACTGGCAGCAGCATCTGAATAATGAAAAAAAACAAGAAACTCTATTCAAAGAGATCCTGTCTCGTTAACTCCAAATAATCAGTTCAATAAGTTCACTGCTTTCTATATTTGTTAATGGAAGTATTTACATTGCCAGCAGTATGCACATGCCCTTTCTAATGCTGCTTCAGTCAAAGCCATTTCAAACAGGTGCATAAAATCGAGCCATCCATCTTCACATTGCACAATTTCAGTAGAATCAGTTGTCGCAACAAAGGATCT